ATAATTAACATAATTCCACAAGGTCACTGCATGTAATATCTAGTTACAACAATAATTACACTAGCAATAATGAAGTTAACTTAAAAATAAGATTTCATTTATAAAGGCAACTCATTCTTGAAAGTATCTAGGGGCTTAACTAAAAAAACAAAAAAAAACAAACAAACAAACAAAAAACCGTGGAGGCCAGGCACAGTCATTCCTGACTGTAATTCCAGCAGTTTGGGAGGCCAAAGTGGGCGGATCATGAGGTCAAGTGATCAAGGCCATCCTGGCTAACATGGTGAAACCCCATCTCTACTAAAAATACAAAAATTAGGTAGATGTGATGGCTTACACCTATAGTCCCAGCTATTTGGGAGTCTGAGACAGGAGAATCACTTGAACTGGGAAGCAGAGGTTGCAGTGAGCCGAGATTGTACCACTGCAGTCCAGCCTGGTGACAGAGCGAGACTCCATTTAAAAAAAAATAAAAAGGATAACAATGGAGAAAATTTTAAATCTCTAATAAACTGCATAGATCTGATTATTCCATATCATTCCATAGCTTATGGTACAACTTAATGTTATAAAAATGTCAATTCTTCATTAATGTGTAAATTAACTGCAATCTCCATCAAAATTCCAGTAGGACTCAATAATCTTATTCCCCCAAAAAAATATGTAGAAGAGAAAACGTCCATAAAAGATAAAATCAACTTTTTATTTTCCCTATTAGAGAATAAAAAGTGCTTTGAAAGACACAGAAATTAAAAAAAAATGGAGCAGTGGCTCAAGAACTGCAATTAAGCCAGAAGAATGTAATAGAGAATTCAGAGAGAGACCCATGTATATTTTGGGGCTTGATACATATTAAATATGGCAGCACAAAATAATGGGGAAAAGATGAGTTATTTGGTGCATTGTTTAGAAAAAAACTGGCTCTCTCCATTGTGAAAAATAAAACTATTTCTATTTAAATATATGATTTAAATATCTCAATGTGAAAGGTAAAACTGTAAGTAAGCAGAAGAGGCCAGATGCACTGGATCATGCTTGTAATCCTAGCACTTTGGGAGGCTGAGGCAGGTGGATCAACTGAGGTCAGGAGTTTGGGATCAGCCCGGCCAACATGGTGAAACCCCATCTCTACTAAAAATACAAAAATTAGCCAGGCATGGTGATGGGTGCCTATAATCCCAGCTACTTGGGAGGCTTAGGCAGGTGAATCGCTTGAACCTGGGGTGGGGGCGGGGGCAGAGGTTGCAATGAGCCGAGATTGCACCATTGTACTACACCCTGGGTGAAAGAATGAAATTCCCTCTCAAAATAAATCAATCAATAAGTAAGTAGAAGAAAATGTAGGATGATATTTTTGTAACCTGTGATTGGGAAAAACTTTCTAAATAAAACTTGAAAAGGATAAAACATGAGACAAAAAATGTAATGTAGTTAACAGAATTATTTTCAATGAAGGACACCATGACAAAGTTAATGACCAAAAACTGACAGTAATGTTTAAAGTGGAGAAAGGAATAATATATTAAAAAGTGGGCCTTGATTCTTGCTGGACCTCAGAGTCACTGGGGGCCCTCCTCTACACTTGTTATATCTCAATGAACACTAACTGAAACTGAATTTCTGTGAATGGGGTCGGCACTTTATTTATCAAGAGCTGACTGCCATGTGATATAGATTCAGAATGAAGCCCATTGATTTACAAAGATTATTGTGTATCCTACATAAGAGATTTGCTAGTAATTTTGGTCTGGATTTATTTTTTTCTTTCCTGGAACTCATTTTGCTTCCTAAATGATGATTTTTTTTCTTAATTCTGGATAATTTTCATTATTATTCTGCTTTATCTTTTCTCACTGTACTTTTTTATTGTGTAACTCCTACTAAATGAATATTGGAATTAGTCTGTCATCTGAACTCTTTTGCACATTTTTCATCCTCTCAACTCTGTGAGTTACATTCTGGATGATTTCTTTATATCAGTTTTCCAATTCACTAATTCTCTCTTCGGCTATTTCTTATCAGGTCTTCACCCATGAATTAAATGTTTATCATCAATGATGTCACTTGTATTTCTATTGTAACTAATGTCTTTTTCTTTTACTATGTTTTTAATAATAGAACAAAATTTAAAGACTTCATATTACAATTATATTGTTAATGTTCTTAGTACTTTATTTCTGCTATTTATTGTCAACTATAATTCATGGAGAGATGATCTTCAGCAGAGTTTATCCTTGAGGATCACATGTGGCTTTAGTTCAGAATGTGGCCCTTCAGGGAGCTCTAGGTTTGCTTCTGTAAGTGCTCCAGGAATATTACTAGGCAAGACCATATATATATTTTTTGTTTTTGTTAGTTTCTTGAGTTGGTTATATTTGAAGCACATAGACAGCATAAATTAAAACTCAAAACTTGCATAAGGGAAGCCCTGTGGCTACAGATTTACTCTATGGAGATATCCAAACTTATTTTAGGAAAGCATTTGTTCCTGTCCCTCATAGCTTGCCTTTCAGCCTACTGCTTTACTGGGAAACTTACATGCACCACACACAGTTACCCTGGGAACAGCTATGACTGACACATGGCCCCAGTTGGGCCATATTTTGAAACTGAAATGGAGAGGCAGAGACTTAAGCTGAAGAGATCCCAGCATTTTGTTGCTGTTTGTTTTGCTTGCTCATTTTGTTTTCTCTGGCCATGTGGGTTAGAGGAATGGAGACACATGATTTCCAATGAGAAAGAAGCATAAGGAGAACACCTATCAGGGAATAGACACAGGATGAAACTGAAACGAAATGCTGGTGATACTTATGTCTATGGTTCTGATTTTCCCCAAACCCCCAAATCTGTTTTTTTTTTTCTTTAGCTCCTTTAGATATCTAATGACCATACAATAAAATGCCTTTCTACTAAACTAGTGCAAGTTGGGTTTCTGTCACTTGCCATTGAGTTAGTCATTCACTCTAAATTATCACAGCACCTTTGCTTCATCACTGAAGAGACATTGGGAGAGTTTTCCTTTTTTTCCCATTCTATGTTATACTTTGTCACCTTGCTCAAGAGACTCTCCTAATGTCACTATGTCTCTTTAAAAATCTCTCTAAAAATAACTCATTCCCCAGTTTCTGCAGCCCCATTTTCCATAAAATAAAGCTCAACACTAGTCATTGAATTCAGCGGGCAACCAACCCCTTTTTTCCTTTTGTCACTCTTCCCTTTTGCCACTCTTCCCTTTTGCGACTCTTCAACCTCCAAGCACACCTGCCTCTGGGAATGAGGCAATGTGGACAAACAGCTAGGAGCAAGTGACGCATCTTCTGTTTACATGCACAAACTGGACATGAAGAGATCTGATCCTAGCCCAATTCAAAGTGGATTCATGTGAATAAGTCCTAATGTGTTTATCTGCTGGACTTTGTTGCTTTTTCTTCATTGCCATTTCCTTTTTCTTAATGGTTCAAAAATTTGGAAATAGAAGTGCCACAGCTATCTGAAGTGTTTTTATGTTGCTTCAAGAGCTGTCCTAATCAAGTTATTAATGTTCCAAGATGTCATTAGTATGAAATTTGTAGCAGTGTTTTACAGACTGAGTTATTCAAAACAGATAAGCCTCACTTTAAAAAAGTCTAGAATGTGTGTGGCTTAACGTTATTGTCTCTGTTATAATCCAGTTAAGGAGAAATTTTAAATTTGACATGTCTATGATTGTAAATTTATTTTGGGACTTTTAAGCAGATGCAGTTTCACTCCAACATGAAATCAGATATATATATATATATATTTTGCCTGGAAATAATTAATTTCTCCCTCCAGGATAATATGCTTACTCAGGCCAAAATCTGCTCTATAAATATTAGTTTATTATTTGTAGGAATAAGAGTAAGTTGAATACTTAGTCTGAAAATTTCACAGTTTTTTATTTCTTATCTATATCTATTATTTATTTAATTCTTAACATTTATGTAGCACTTTCTATGTGTCTGGCACTATGATAACTGCTTTATATATGTTAACTAATTCAATCCTTACAACTTGTAGATAGGCGATATTATTACCCCAGTAATTGTCCTAAACTAAGGTAAAGAGAATTTAGGTGACTTCCCACAAATCATGTAGCAAATGCATGAGAGAACCAGTTTGACTCTAGAGTCTGTTTTTATAATCACTGCACAGAAACTATAGAAAATATTTTAAAATTTTAACCAGTAATAAGGGGCCTAGATGCTTCTCTGTGCTTCTTCTAATGGCTCTGCAAGCCTTCTTTAATGTAGGATAGATATATTTATATATCCTACATTGAAGAAGGAGATATGCATATATATATGTATATGTATATCAGACTTAGGGCATCGCCTGTATGAAATAGCACTAAAAATCCTGTTGTTATTATTATATCTGTGTTTTTTTAGTGTTTGATTCATTTAATCAATTATGAAAGCAAAAATCTATCAATTTCAATCTAAAAATGATCAGCTTAGGAAGCTACAGATAGATTGATCATCTAAAACTCCTCAGTGTAGGAAGCTACGATAGATTGATAATCTAAAAATTATCAGCTTAGGAAGCTACTGATAGATCATCTAAAAATGATCAGCCTATGATGCTACTTATTGATTGATAACATATGACCTGCTATGGGCTGAATGATGGTGTCCTCTCAAATTTCATGTGTTAGAAACTAATATCCAATGTGATCATATTAAAAGCTGATTAAGTCATCAGGATCCCCCCTGATGAGTGGGAATAACACCTCATAAGTGAGGTTGTAAGGGTTGCTGTTGAGATGGCCAAATAGGAACAGCTCTGGTGTGCAGCTCCTAGTGACACTGATGCAGAAGGTGGCTGATTTCTGCATTTCCAACTGAGGTATCTGGTTCATCTCATTGGGAATGGTTGGACAGTGGGTGTAGCCCAAGGAGGGTGAGCTGAAGCAGGGTGGGGTGTTGCCTCACCTAGGAAGTGCTAGGGGTCAGGGAACTCTCTCTTTTAGCCAAGGGAAGCCATTAGGGTCTGTATCCTGCACTCGAGCCCAGGTACTGCGCCCTTCCCATGATCTTCACCACCCACAGACCAGGAGATTCCCTCTGATACTACACTACCACCAGGGCCCTGGGTTTCCAGCACAAAACTTGGCAGCTGTTTGGGCAGACACCAAGCTAGCTGCAGCAGTTTTTGTTCTTTCATACCCCAGTGGTGCCTGGAATGCCAGTGAGACAGATATGTTCACTCCCCTGGAAAGGGGGCTAAAACCAGGCAGCCAAGTGGTCTGGCTTGGTGGATCACACTCCCAAGGAGACCAGCAAAAAGATCCACTGCCTTGAAATTCTCACAGCCAGCACAGCAGTTTGAGCTCAACCTGGGATGTGTGAGCTTGGTTGTGGGAAGGTTGAGTAGGTGGTTTTAACCTTACAGTGTAAGCAAAGATGCCAGAAAGTTCAAACTGGGCAGAACACAGCTCAGCAAGGCCACTGCAGGTAGACTGTCTCACTAGATTCCCTCCTGACTGGGCAGGGAATCTGAGAAAAAAGGAAGCAGCCTATCAGGGACTTTTAAATAAAGCTCCCAACTTCCTGGGACAGAGCACCTGGGAAAGTGGTGGTTGGGGGCACAGCTTCAGCAGAATTAAACATCCCTGCCTGGCAGCTCTGAAGAGAGCAGTGGATCTCCCAGCACGGTGTTCAGGCTCTGATAAGGGACAGAATACCTGCTCAAGTGGCTTCCTGACTCCCATGTATCCTGACTGGGAGACACCTCCCAGGAGGGGCTGACAGACACCTCATACAGGAGAGCTCTAGCTGTCATCTAGTGGGTACCCTTCTGGGACGAAGCTACCAGAGGAAGAACAGGCTGCAAAATTTGCTGTTCTGCAGCTTCTACCAGTGATACCCAGGCAAGCAGGGTCTGGAGAGGAACTCTGGCAAACTCCAGCAGACCTGCAGCAGAGTGGCCTGACTGTTGGAATGAAAACTAACAAACAGAAAGGAATAGTTTTAACGTCAAAAAAATAAAAAACATCCACTCAGATACCACATTCAAAGGTCACTGATTTCAGAGACTAAAGGTAGATAAATCCACAAAGGATGAACAGAAACCAGTGCAAAATGGCTGAAAATTCCAAAAACCAGAATGTCTTTTCTCTTCCAAGGGATCCCAAGCCCTCACCAGCAAGGGAACAAACTGGATGGAGAATGAGTGTGACAAATTGACAGAAGCAGGCTTCAGAAGGTGGGTAATAACAAACTCCTCTGAGCTAAAGGAGCATGTTCTAACCCAATGCAAGGAAGCTAAGAACCCTGAAAAAAGTGTGGACAAAATGCTAAGTAGAATGACCAGTGTAGAGAACATAAATGCCCAGATGGAGCTGAAAAACAGCATGAGAACTTCATGAAGCATACACTAGTTTCAATAGCCAAATCGATCTAGCAGGAGAAAGGATATCAGAGATTGAAGGTCAACTCAATGAAATAAAGTGAGAAGACAAGATTAGAGAAAAATAAAAGTGAAAGGAAATGAACAAAGCCTCCAAGAATATAGGATTAGGAGAAAAAAACAAATCCACATTTGATCAGTGTACCTCAATGTGATAGGGAAAATGAAACTGAGTTGGAAAACACTCTTCAGGGTATTATGTAGGAGAACTTACCCAACCTAGCAAGTCAGGCCAACATTCAAATTCAGGAAATATAGAGAACACCACAAAGGTACTCCTCAAGAAGAGCAACCCCAAGAAGCATAATCATCAGATTCATTAAGGTTGAAATGAAGGAAAAAATGCTAAGGGGAGCCAGAGAGAAAGATCAGGTTACCCACAAAGGGAAGCCCATCAGACTAAGAGCAGTCTCTCAGCAGAAACTCTACAAGCCAGAAGAGAGTGGGGGCCAATATTTAACATTCTTAAAGGAAAGAGTTTTCAACCCAGAATTTCATATCCAGCCAAACTAACTTTCATAAGTGAAGGAGAAATAAAATCCTTTATGGACAAGCAAATGCTGATAGATTTTGTCACCACCAGGCTTGCCTTACAAAAGCTTTTGAAGGAAGCACTGAACATGTAAAAGAACAACCAGTACTAGCTATTGCAAAAACATACCAAATTGTAAAGACCATTAATGCTATGAAGAAACTGCATCAACTAGCGGGCAAAACAACCAGCTAGCATCATAATGGCACAATCAAATTCACACATAACAATAATAACCTTAAATGTAAATGGGCTAAATGCCCCAATCAAAAGACAGACTGGAAAATTGGATAAAGACCAATAGGTGTGCTGTATTCAGGAGACCCATCTCATGTGCTAAGATACACATAGGCTCAAAATAAAGGGATGGAAGAATATTTATCAAGCAAATATGGAAAACAAAAAGAAAAAAGCAAGTGTTGCAATCCTGTCTTTGATAAAACAGACTTTAAACCAACAAAGAACAAAAGAGACAAAGAAGAGCATTAAATAATGGTAAAGGGATCAATGCAACAAGAAAAGGTAACTATCCTAAATATATATGCACCCAATACAGGAGCACCCAGATTCATAAAGCAAGTTCTTAGAGACCTACAAAGAGACATACTCCCACACAATAATAGTGGGACACTTTAACACCCCACTGTCAATATTAGATCAATGAGAGAGAAAATTAACAAGAATATTCAGGACTTGAACTCAGCTCTGGACAAAGCAAACCTATTGGACAACTACAGAACTCTCCACCCCAAATCAACAGAATATACATTCTTCTCATCACCACATTGCACTTATTCTCAAATTGACCACATAATTGAAAGTAAAACACTCCTCAGCAAATTCAAAATAATGGAAATCATAACAAACAGTTTCTCAGACCACAGTGAAATCAAATTGGAACTCAGGATTAAGAAACTCACTCAAAACCAGACAGCTACATGGAAACTGACCAATCTGCTCCTGAGTGACTACTGGATAATTAATGAAATGAAGGCAGAAATAAAGATGTTCTTTGAAACCAATGAGAATGAAGACACAATGTACCAGGATCTCTGGGACACATTTAAAGCAGTGTGTAGAGGGAAAATTATAGCAGTAAATGCCCACAAGAGAAAGCAGGAAAGATCTAAAATTGACACTCTAACATCAAAATTAAAAGAACCAGAGAATCAAGAGCAAACAAATGCAAAAACTATCAGAAGAAAAGAAAGAACTAAGATCAGAGCAGAACTGAAGGAGATAGAGACATGAAAAAGTCTTCAAAAACTCAATGAATCCAGGAGCTGGTTTTTTGAAAAGATCAACAAAATAAACCACTAGCTAATCTAATAAAGAAGAAAACAGAGAAGAATCAAATAAACGCAATAAAAAATATTACCACTGATCCCACAGAAATACAAACTTCCATCAGAGAACACTATAAACACCTCTACACAAATAAACCAGAAAATCTGAGGAAATTGATAAATTCCTGGACACTTACATCCTCCCAAGGGTAAAGCAGGAAGAAGTCAAATCCCTGAATAGACCAATAACAAGTTCTGAAATTCAGGCAGCAATTAATAGCCTGTCAACCAAAAAAAGCCCAGGACTAGATAGGTTCACAGCTGAATTCTACCAGAAGTATGAAGAGGAGTTGGTACCATTTCTTCTGAAACTATTCCAAACAATAGAAAAAGAGAGAATCCTCCCTAACTCATTTTATGAGGCCAACATCATCCTGTTACCAAAACCTGGCAGAGATACGACAAAACAAATTTCAGGCCAATATCCCTGATGAACATTGATAAATACCTCAATGAAATACTAGCAGAGTGAATCCAGCAGCACATCAAAAATGTATCCAACACAATCAAGTTGGTTTCATCCTTGGGAGTTAAGGCTGGTTCAGCATAAGGAAATCAATAGACATAATCCATCACATAAACAGAACCAAAGACAAAACCCACATAATTATCTCAGTAGATGCAGAGAAGGCCTTCAACAAAATTCAACAGCCCTTCATGCTAAAAACTCTCAGTAAACCTAGGTATTGATGGAACGTATTTCAAAAAACAAGAGCTATTTATGACAAACCAACAACCAATATCATACTGAATGGACAAAACCTAAAAGCATTCCCTTTGAAAACTGGCACAAGACAAGATGCCCTCTCTCACCACTCCTCTTCAACATAGTATTGGAAGTTTTGGCCAGGGCAATCAGGCAAGAGAAAGAAATAAAGGGAATTTGATTAGGAAAAGAGGAAGTCAAATTGTCTCTATTTGCAGATGACAACGATATCATCTGTATATTTAGAAGACGCCATCATCTCAGCCCAAAATCTCCTTAAGTTGATAACCAACTTCAGAAAAGTATCAGGATACAAAATTAATGTGCAAAACTCACAGCATTCCTATACACCAATAACAGGCAAACAGAGAGCCAAATCATGAGTGAACTCCCATTCACAATTACTACAAAGATAATCTAGGAATCTGACTTACAAGGGATATGAAGAACCTCTTCAAGGAGAACTACAAACCAGTGTTCAAGTAAATAAGAGAGGACACAGATGGAAAAACATTCCATGCTCATGGTTAGGAAGAATCAGTATCATGAAAATGGCCATAGTGCCCAAAGTAATATATAGATTCAATGCTATACCTATCAAGCTACCATTGACTTTCTTCACAGAATTGGAAAAGACTCATTTAAATTTCATACGGAACCAAAAAAGAGTCCACATAGCCAAGACAATCCTAAGCGAAAAGAACAAAGCTGGAGGCATCACGCTACCTGACTTCAAATTATACTACAAGGCTACAATAATCAAAACAGATGGTACTGGTACCAAAACAGAGATATAGACCAATGGAACAGAACAGAGATCTCAAAAATAACGCCACACATGTACAACCATCTGATCTTTGACAAACCTGAGAAAAACAAACAATGGGGAAAGGATTCCCTATTTAATAAATGGTGTTTGGAAAACTGGGTAGCGATATGCAGAAAGCTAAAACTTTTTAGCTTTTTTTTAGAGTTTTTAGCATGAAGGGCTGTTGAATTTTGTTTAAGGCCTTCTCTGCATCTACTGAGATAATTATGTGTGTTTTATCTTTGGTTCTGTTTATGTGATGGATTATGTCTATTGATCCCTTCCTTACACCTTATACAAAAATTAACTCATGATGGATTAAAGACTTAAATTTAAGACGTAAAACCATAAAAACTCTAGAAGAAAACCTAGGCAATACCATTCAGGACGTAGGCATGGGCAAAGACTTCATGACTAAAACACCAAAAGCAATAGCAACAAAAGCCAAAATAGACAGAAGGGATCTAATTAAAATAAAGAACTTTTGCACAGCAAAAGAAATTAGCACCACAGTAAACAGCCAACCTACAGAGTGAGAGAAAATGTTTCCAATTTCTCCATCCAACAAAGGGCTAATATCCATTTACAAGAAAAAAACAACCGCATCAAAAAGTGGGTGAAGGAAATAAACAGACACTTCTCAAAAGGAGACATGTATGCAGCCAAAAAACATGAGAAAAAGCTCATCATCACTGGTCATTAGAGAAATGTAAATCAAAACCGCAAAGAGATACCGTCTCGCACCAGTTAGAATGGCAGTCATTAAAAAGTCAGGAGATAGCAGATGCTGGAGAGAATGTGGAGAAATAGGAATGCTTTTACACTGTTGGTGAGAGTATGAATTAGTTCAAACATTGTGGAAGACAGTGTGGCAATTCCTCAAGGATCTAGAAATAGAAATTGACCTATTCAACCCAGCTATTCCATTACTGGATATATACCCAAAGGATTATAAATAATTCTATTATAAAGACACATGCACACATATGTTTATTGCGGCAGTGTTCACAATAGCAAAGACTTGGAATCAACCCAGATGACCATCAGTGATAGACTGGATAAAGAAAATGTGGCACATATACACCATGGAATACTATGCAGCTATAAAAAGGATGACTTTATGTCCTTTGCAGGGACATGGATGAAGCTGGAAACCATCATTCTCAGCAAACTAACACAGGAACAGAAAACCAAATACCACGTTCTCACTCATGAGTGGGAGTTGAACAATGAGAACACATGGACACAGGGAGGGGAACATCACACACAGGGGCCTGTTGGGGTGTGGGGAACTAGGGGAGGGATAGCATTAGGAGAAATACCTAATGTGATGACAGGCGGATGGATGCAGGAAACCATCATGGCATGTGTATACCTATGTAATAAACCTGCACATGTATCTCAGAACTTAAAGTATAATAATTTAAGAAAATATAAGTGAGGTTGGGGGCCTTGCTCCTTTTCCTCCTGCCATGTGAGGAAGCAGCAAGATGCACCACCTTGGAAGCAGAGTGCAGCCCTCACCAGACACTGAATCTGCTGGTGCCATAATCTTGGACTTCCTGTCCTCCAGAACTGAGCAATAGATTTCTGTTGTTTATAAATTA